GCATTCACCAACCCTTTAGGGTTGTACGAGTTCGAAAGAATGCCATCTGGCCTCTGCAATGCCCCTGCAACCTTCCAGAGGCTGATGCAGCGCTGCCTCGGGTCTCAGGTAAATGACTCCCTGCTTATTTATCTTGATGATGTTATCGTGTATTCAAAGTCATTTGACATGCACCTAACCCTCTTGGACAGATTATAGAAGGTTTATCCCCTCTTTTGCCAAAATCGCCGCCCCTCTGCATGCGCTCACACATGGTACCAAACAGCTGGGTTCCAAGACCCAGCCAGTTGAATGGACATCCAGCTGTCAAGAAGCCTTTGACAGCTTGAAGAAAATGATGGTGGGTGCTCCTATTATTGCATATGCAGATTATAAGTTTTATGGTTGACTGTGACATGCTACGGTAAGCTTACAGACTCATTTCCGGTTTACTTCCTGCTCTGTGTACACTGTTTGGTGCTGTAGCTCTGTCAGTGAACGCTGAATCTAAATTTGTTTTACTCGTTACAGCGGTTATTTTCCCGCTTAACATTTGAACGTAGACTAGTTCTACCTAAACACTCAGAGTTTCTCCTTCATTTAGTGACTTTTCACTACTTTCAAAGTTTTTTCATACACGCTAGTTTCATTAGCATTAGCAGTTAGCTATGGCTTCTCCCTCTCCCTCTGCTCTGTCCTGCTCAGTGTGTCAGATGTTCAGTTATTCCTCTGCCTCCTTTAAAGATAATGGTACCTGTATTAAGTGTAGTTTATTTACTGCGCTGGAGGCGAGGCTTAGTGAGTTAGAGGAATGGCACCGCACCACGGAGATGTCTTTAGCCGCTATAGTTAGCCAGCCCCCAGTAGCCGGTGCGGTCCGACCGAAGGTAGCTTCTGTTAGATCTGTAGATCCCCCGGTAGATCCCGAGCAGCCGGGAAGACAGGGAGGCTGGGTGACTGAGTGAAGGAAGACTAAAACGGCGAAGCCCACAGGTCACCACCAACCCATTCACGTTTCTAATACATTTTCCCCACTCAGCGATACACCCGCTGAGGAACCAACTCTGATTATTGGCAGCTCCATAGTCAGAAACGTGAAGTTAGTGAAGCCAGCGGCCATAGTTAAATGTATATCTGGGGCCAGAGCGGGCGACATTGAATCAAATTTAAAACTGCTGGCTAAAGATAAACGTAAATACAGTAAGATTGTTATCCACGTCGGCGGTAATGACACCCGTTTACGCCAATCGGAGGTCACTAAGATTAATGTGGAGTCGGTGTGTAATTATGCTAAGACAATGTCGGACTCAGTAGTTTTCTCTGGACCCCTGCCCAATGTGACCAGTGATGACATGTATAGCCGCATGTCGTCATTCCACCGCTGGCTGTCGAGGTGGTGTCCAGCAAACGATGTGGGCTTCATTGATAACTGGAAGCCTTTTTGGGGAAAACCTGGTCTGATTAGGAGAGACGGCATCCATCCCACTTTGGATGGAGCGGCTCTCTTATCTAGAAATATGACGAAGTTTATCTCTAAAACCTGACAGTCCAGAGTTGGGACCAGGAAGCAGAGCTGCTGTCTTACACACTTCTCTGCGCTTTCTTTAGAAAAGTCACCCACCCAAAACCCCGTAGAGACTGTGTCTGTCCCCCGACCACCTAAATTATTTAAAGAAATAAAAACAAGAGGAGTTAAACATGAAAATCTAATAAAAATTAAAACCAACTCCTCAGTAGCACTAAATAAGAGAATGAAATGTGGGCTGTTAAATATCAGGTCTCTGTCCTCTAAAGCTGTTTTAGTGAATTAATTAATATCAGATTATGATATTGATTTACTTTGTCTTACTGAGACCTGGTTGTCCCACGAGGAGTATGTTAGCCTAAATGAATCCACCCCCCCCCCAAGTCATATTAATACTCACATTCCTCGAGGCACAGGCCGAGGAGGTGGAGTGGCAGCCATGTATTATTCGAGCATTTTAATGGACCCTAAACCTAAACTAAATTATAATTCATTTGAAAGCCTTGTTCTTAGTCTTTCTCACCCAAACTGGAAAACATTGCAGCCAGTTCTATTTGTTATAGTGTACCGCGCTCCTGGACCGTACTCTGATTTTATATCTGAATTCTCAGAGTTTCTATCAAGTTTAGTCCTTAAATCAGATAAAGTAATTATTGTAGGTGATTTTAATATTCATGTGGATGTTGACAATGACAGCCTTAGTAATGCATTTATATCATTAATAGTCTCAATTGGCTTCTGTCAGAGTGTAAATAAACCAACTCATTGTTTTAATCACACTCTTGACCTTGTTTTATCATATGGCATTGATATTGAACATTTAATAGTCTTCCCACATAATCCTTTCCTATCAGACCATTATTTAATAACTTTTTAATTCATGTTGTTAGATTATAAGCCATTAGGCAAAACTTCCTACAGCAGATGTCTATCTGATAGTGCTGTAGCTAAATTTAAGGAGGAGATTCCTTCAGTGTTTAATTCAATGCCATGTCTGAATTTAACAGAATCCTATAACAACTTTAGTCCCTCTGAAATTGATAATCTTGTCGATAGTGCTATAGGCTCACTACGATCAACATTACACTCTATCACTACTATAAAAAGGAAATTATTAAAACATAGGAGACTAGCACCTTGGTATAACCACCAAACCCGCCAGTTAAAGCAAATAGCTAGGAAATCTGAAAGGAAATGGCGCTCTTCCAAATTATCAAAATATCGCTCAAATTGGCAAGATAATCTTAAAATTTATAGAAAGGCCCTCCGTAGTGGCAGAGGAGCCTATTACTCAGCACTAATAGAAGAAAATAAGAACAACCCTAGGTTCCTCTTCAGCACTGTAGCCAGGCTGACAGAGAGTCACAGCTCTATTGAGCCACATATCCCCATAAACTTAAGTAGCAATGACTTCATGAGCTTCTTCTATAATAAAATTATTACTATTAAGAGAAAAAAATAATCACCAACTGCCATCAACAGTTATCAGTGGCTCTCCAAGTTCAGGGACTTCTGTTAATGTAAACTTAGATATATATTTAGACTGTTTTTCTGCTATCGATCTTCATCAGTTAACTTCAATCATTTCTTCATCAAAGCCATCAACCTGTCTATTAGACCCGATCCCAACTAGGCTGCTTGAAGAAGTTGTTCCCTTAATTGGCACTTCTTTACTGGATATGATTAATCTTTCTTTATTATCAGGATATGTACCACAGTCCTTTAAAGTAGCTGTAATTAAACCCCTTCTTAAAAAGTCCACTCTTGACCCAGGGGTTTTAGCCAACTATAGACAGATTTCTAACCTCCCCCTTCCTCTCTAAGATTCTGGAGAAAGTAGTCGCCAAAGAGTTGTGTGACTTTCTACATAACAATAGTTTATTTGAGGATTTTCAGTCAGGATTTAGAGTTCATCATAGCACAGAGACAGCTCTGGTTAAAGTTAATAATGACCTTCTGATTGCTTCTGACAATGGATTTGTCTCTGTACTTGTATTATTAGATCTTAGTGCTGCATTTGACACCATTGACCATAATATTCTTTTACAGAGACTTGAGCATCAAATTGGCATTAAAGGAACCGCACTAAGCTGGTTTAAGTCATATTTATCAGATCGCTCGCAGTTTGTACATGTTAACGATGAATCTTCAATAAATACCACAGTTAGTCATGGAGTTCCACAAGGTTCTGTACTTGGACCAATACTATTTACTTTATATATGCTGCCTTTAGGCAACATTATTAGGAATCACTCCATTAACTTTCACTGTTATGCAGATGATACGCAGTTATATCTATCAATGAAGCCCAATGAAATTAATCAATTATCTAAATTACAAACATGTCTTAAGGACATAAAATCCTGGATGACCTGCAATTTTCTGATGTTAAACGAAATTCTTGTTCTTGGCCCCAAAAACCTTAGAGACTCACTGTCTAAAGATATAGTTACTCTAGATGGCATTAACTTGGCCTCTGGCACCACTGTCAGGAATCTTGGAGTTATCTTTGATCATGATTTGTCATTTAACTCCCACATAAAGCAGACCTCCAGGACTGCCTTCTTTCATTTACGTAATATTACAAAAATTAGGCACATACTATCACAGACAGATGCAGAAAAACTAATCCATGCATTTGTTACTTCAAGGCTGGATTACTGCAACTCTTTATTATCAGGTTGCCCCAATAAGTCCATTAAAACGCTCCAATTAATTCAGAACGCTGCAGCACGAGTACTGACAGGAACTAGAAAAAGAGATCACATCTCTCCTGTACTAGCTTCTCTGCATTGGCTCCCTGTAAAATGTGGAATAGAATTTAAAATCCTCCTCCTCACCTATAAAGCTCTTCATGGTCAGGCCCCTTCATATCTTAAAGAGCTCATAGTACCCTATTACACCTCTAGAACACTACGTTCTCTGAATGCTGGGCTACTTGTGGTTCCTATAGTCTCTAAAAGTAGAACAGGAGCCAGAGCCTTCAGTTACCAAGCTCCTCTCCTGTGGAACACGCTTCCAGTTGTGGTTCGGGAGGCAGACACCCTCACCACATTCAAGAGTAGGCTTAAGACATTCCTCTTTGATAGAGCTTATTGTTAGGGCTGGATCAGGTGAGTCCTGAACCATCGCTTAGTTATGCTGCTATAGGCCTAGACTATCGGGGGATTTCCCATGGTGCACTGAGCTCCTCCCTTCCTCTCTCTTTCTGCACTCATTCATGTCCCATTAATGCATGTTACTAACTTCACTTCTTCCCCGGAGTTCTTGTGCTTTCTCGTCTCGCAGGTTCTTGTCGATCCTGGTGGAGCCTCCTGCCATGGTCCTGCTAGATTGCCATTGCCAATACTGTTGTTGCTGTGCACCTGTCTGTCTGTCTCTCGCTCTCTCTCTCACCCCAACTGGTTGAGACAGACGACCCCCCACCTAGAGCCGGAGGATCTGTCCTAGGTTTCTGCCTTTTAACAGGCACTTTTTCCTTGCCCTTGTCGCCAAGTGCTTGCTCATGGTGGTACTGTTGGGTCTCTGTAATTAATGTTTTAAAGAGTTCGGTCTAGACCTGCTCTGTTTGAAAAGTGTCCTGAGATAACTTCTGTTATGAATTGGCGCTATACAAATAAAATTGAATTGAATTGAATTGAATTGAAGTTGCCATTTAGGTTGTACACTGATGCCAGCTTCAAAGGACTAGGTGCAGTACTCTCTCAGGGGGAGAAGGAGAGGGTTATAGCATATGCCAGCCGAACTCTGAGCCCCAATGAGCGGAATGATTACCTGTGGGGGGAACAGATAACAGTTTTTACAGATAACAACCCCTTAGTCCATTTGAATACTGCAAATCTGGGCGCTGCTGAGCAAAGGTGGGCAGCACAGCTGGCTAACTATGACTTTGTTGTAAAATATCGCCCAGGAAAGGAAAACAGCAATGCAGATGCCCTGTCACGGAGACCCCAAAAGGCACAACCCCATACAATGGCGGTGGGAGCAGAGGAGGATGAAGCAGATGGACCTCAGGAATGGACAGGCCGCCAGCAGGAAGACTCCACACTGAAGCAGGTTATAGCCATGGTGCAACAAGGTAAACCCCTAGGGCACATCAAGGGGCTTAGCAGGAGGTTGTTGACACCTTACAACAAATGTTGGGCCCAGTTAAGGGTAAAAGATGGCCTTCTCTTGAAGCTTGGGGAGGAGGGTGGATCAAATGAACTGTTTACACAGATCGTGGTGCCCCCAGGATGGAGGAGGCTGGTGTGGAAGGAGTACCATGAGGCGGCTGGCCATATGGCAGGGGCTAAAACCCTGTCCCTCTTAAAGCGGCGTTTCTACTGGCCTGGACAAGGGGAGGATGTCCATCGGTGGTCAACAGAATGTGGGTACTGCCGGTCACAGTGACCACTGCCAGAGGTAAGGGCCCCACTAAAATCTGTTGTCACTTCCTACCCTCTGGAGATGGTAGCAATAGACTACTTGTCCCTGGGCCGACAAGGAGATGTTTTTTTTTTCGTTGCTACAGATGTCTTCTCCAGGTTTGCATGGGCAATTCCAACCAAAGACCAGACTGCCACAACAGCTAAGATGCTCTGGCAGCATGTCATCCAACCTTTTGGCTGTCCAGAGAGGATACACTCAGACTGTGGGGCTGCATTCGAGTCCTCATTAATGGCAGAACTGTGCCAAATGTATGGAGCCCGTAAGAGCCGAACAACCACATCCCCAAGGAAATGGCTCTGTTGAGAGATTTAACCAGACTTTGTTAAAAATGTTGAGTTCCTTAGAGGGGGAGGACCATGCACTGTGGCCCCAGAAATTACCAGAGTTGGTACATGCGTATAACAACTTTGTGAATGAATCCACTGGACTTTCACCTTTCTTTGTCATGTTTGTCATGTTTGGCAGGCATGCCCGTCTCCCTGTGGATGTAGTGATGGGAGCCACTCGCCACGGGGCCCCCTGTCCTGGGCATGTAGACTGATGGAAAAAAAACTAGAGCCAGAAGGCCTTAATAAATTTTTAGCGCCAATTCAGAGCAGAAGCCACATCAGGATTTACAAACCCTTTAATTTATCCAACCAAGGAGGAAAAATGGGTACAGGGTCACCTAGGACAATAGCTGGAGAAAGAGAGAGAGAGGGGAAAAAAAGAAGGACACAAAAAGGAGAGCCGGGGAGGCTCCTCTGGGCATCCATGAGAACTGTTGCAGAACATGCACCGAACAGAGACAGACTACGGGACCAACAGCGCTACAACCTGAGACAGAAGGCCTTAAAGGTTCAACAGGGGAGCTAGGCCCTGTTCTACTTTAGAGACTATAGGAACCACGTAGCCCAGCATTCAGAACGTGGTTCTAGTGGGTAATAGGGTACAGAGCCTTAAATAGGGCCCCAAAGAGCTTTATAGGGAGGAGGAGGATTTAATCAATCTACATTTATAGGGAGCCATGATAGCAGGAGGTGTGTCTTTTTCAGTTCCGCGAGTGCTGAGCTTTTTAATTAATTGGACGTTTTAATGGACTTATGGGCAACCATAAAAAGAGTTGCAGTATCCAGCCTAAGTAACAAATGCATGTAGTTTTCTGCATCGTCTGGATAGTATGTGTCTAATTTTTAATATTACGTAATGAAAGAAGGCAGTCCTAGAGGTCTGCTTATGGGAGTTAAATGACAAATCCATCAAAGATACCCAAGATTCCACAGTGGTGCTAGAGGCCAAGTTAATGCCATCAGAGTACATATCTTAGACAATGAGTCTCTAAGGTTTTGGGGCCAAGAACAAGATTCGGTTTTTCTGAGTTTAACATCAGAAAATTCAGGTCATCCAGGATTTATGTCCTAAGACATGTTTGTAATAGATAATGATTAATTTCATGGGTTGATATAAATAACGCGATCATCGCATAACAGTGAAAGTTAATGGAGTGATTCCTAATAATGTGCCTAAAGGGAGCATATATAAAGTAAATAGTATTGGTCCAAGACAAACCTGGAACCAGACTAACTTAGTATTTATGGAGGATTCATCGTTAACATGTACAAACGAGAACGATCGATAAGTATGACTTAAACCAGGTTAGGGCAGTTCCTTTAATGCCAATTGATCCAAGCTAAAAATACATGGCAATGGCAAATGCAGCACAAGATCTAATAATACAAGCAGAGACAAGTCCATTGTCAGAAGCAGTCAGAAGGTCATATTAACTTAACCAGAGCGTCTCGTGCTAATGAACCTAAATCCGACGAAAATCCTCAAATAAACCACTCCTACCTGGTGAGCGAGTCTTAATTAGAAACTTCCGCTGGAAGGCTCAAAGAAAGTTGACTCCCTGATGGATTCAGGAGCTCTTTGTTGTTGTTGCAGCACTCTCCCCTGACAGCCCTGTATATGGAGTTCGGCCAGAGGGTCGTGAGGGACCTGAGAGAACTATCCATCGTAATAACCTGAGACCTTGCTTGTACCCCCCAGCAGAAACCCCCCCGGAAGCAGAACAGCTACAGGACCCAACAATGGTGAGGGAGTTCCCTTTAATGCTTCCTCTTAGGCCCCAGTGGATACCAGTTCAAGGACCTGCACAGGGCCAACCAGTGGGACCGCTACAGTCAACAGATCCACAAGAGCAAGGGCCCGGGGCAGTACATACTGTATGCAGGAAGCTGCAGTACAGCCAGAACCACAAGGTGAACAGGCAAGAAACAGTCCACCTCGCAGGTCAACACGGGCAAATCTGGGGGTTAAGCCTGCCAGGTACGGTGAGTAGAAGCCAGCTGTCGGGACGACAACGGATTAAGTTGGGTGGAGTGTCACAAAGTCACCAGGAAAGACCTTTTTTGTGCTTTGCATTAAATTAATTTATTCTTAATTGTGTGTGTTTGAATTACTGTGTTGAAGTCTCTCTCTCCTGTGTGGTTGAAGGACCTCCCCTTGCAGCAACCTGGCACACCTGCAAGTACTAATCACCTTCCCAATTAGATAAAAAGGAGGAAGTGGAGCAGGATGGTGGCCGGGGAAATCCAACAGATACAACAAGAGAAGAAACAGGAGCAGCAAGGGACATGCTGGCTGAACTCCACCCCCCCTACCTGCAGTCAAGGAGAAGTAAGGACTGGCTGGACAGCTTTTGGACCCCTGGTAAAGACTCTTTTAAAAGACTGTGCCTCTTCATCCCCTGGTAAAGACTCTTTTAAAAGACTGCCTTTTCACCACCCCCATCTTTGTTTTTTACCAAAACTGCCTGTGTTAATAAACTACCTTATTGAACTTCTGACTCTGCCTACTTGTTTAACCAGAGAGTAAAGAAACCTGTGACACATGCTCTCTGTCTCAGTGGAGTAGCAAAGGAGGAGCATGTGTGCGCATGCTGAGTGCGTGACCACGATTTAAAAAAATAAATAAATAAATAAATAAATAAATTGGTTCGTTCGTGAACGTCACAACTCGTCGTTTGTCCTTTTGTGTTATTTGGACATCGTTTGGATGATGTGTCCCCAATCTCTGTACTTCCAGTTTTTCCTCCAAAGACTTTAAAGAAAATTGATTAAAAAGTAAATAATCCACCTCGTTCATGTTCATGCTAACGCCCGCCATTATCACAGTTGCTCACTTCCCTCTCTCCACGTTCTACTACGAACTAGCCTCACTGTACTGTAGCTACTGCGCTGTGATTGGTCGAAGGTCACTGTCCTTTGGGCTGAATGAATTTAGCCCAGATGGGCAGCATATGAAGGGGGCGTCATGGAACCTGTCAATCAAAGGTGAATGGAAGCTCACGCTACTGTGCTTCGACTGTAAAAATTAAGCCGATTCACAGGAAAAACACAAGACATATCATACATCCTGGGTTTTTTCTTTCACTTTTTGGTGCTGTTGCTGCTCTAAGTTCCACCAAAATTCCAAACAATATGTTCTAAGGTTTTTAATAATAGTTTTTCATCTTTACTTTAAAATATAGGGAGGGCTTAGCCCTGTTAGCCCATATATACCAGCTGTCCCTGATAATTAGTATCATTGGTATCACCTGTATTCACTATTTCATGTCAAAATGGCTTCTGTGAAAGCGGTTCTACTCTCTCTGTGTTCGTGTTGCTAAGGTTGCAGAAGTATGACCCATAGATGTACATATTGGCTGCGCCATGTGTTTTCCCAGCTCAACACTTCTGAAAGCTGCTCTTTCACTATAGAGTAAAATTTACTGCATTATTGTTTTTTTATTGTGTACTTTCAGAAAATAGTAAGCCAAACTCCCTTTAAGAAATTTGACATTCTAACAACTAGTGCAGTGCCCGTAGGAAGTATGTAATGCTATAGAAAATGGGAGGTTAAGTAGCTTTTTCATGGATGGCCAAATGAGGTTGTGTTTGAAGGTGGGACGTCAGGGACATTTAGGTTTGTTGTGAAATGTGTAGATTGATAACTATTGTGTTGTCATATAATTTGTCTTCTAGCAAGGACACTGTAGGGAGATGAACCCCATTCCACTAATGTGTAAGTACCACACCTCATGGTCAGCGCATATAAATTCTGAAAGAAGAAAGTGAACTACATCTGAAATAAGATGAAACCTGGCAGCATAAACAGACTAACTTGTAGCATAACCTAGTAAATGAACTGGGCAGGACATATGAGAGAGAGAGAGAGAGAGAGAGA